GAAGTCCAAATCTGCATGCTTCCACCCACTATGGGATGATAGAGAATGTTCTTCATCAACATTGTCTTGTTCATTCAGGCCTCAAGCAAACTAAACACCAAACACTGATTTTATTGGCTTTAGCTAAGTTATTGTCGACGCTGGATCTTTTACATTGCACTAGCCTGTGGTTTTTACATGGTGTGAACTAGCTCAAGAACTAGAAAGGCTTACAGAGGCAAACCTGACATTAATAAAAGATGCCTAAAACTAACCAACTGCTTTTGCAGGACAATCCTGTGCAAGTTTACTCAGAATACTGCCCAGTCTAGGATGGTTTCAGAGTGGGAGGAAGGGAAAAGGAAATAGGATGATTAGGCCATATTTGGTAATGTTTGCCTGATAAAGAAGTGAGATGGCATTTCAGCCCATCCTATCCTTTTGAAGCACTGCTCAACACTAAACTCCATTGCGCCCTATGGGTCTTACTCAACGCAGCATTAATGAACCATTTTCCATATAACAGAAAGTTAAAGTTTGGTTTTGGATAGTAATATCCTCAGCCAAGTTCATTGGAAAGGACCAAAAAATCTGTGATTCTTAAGGACTGATTCTTTTGCTTGCCCATATGAGGAGGCATATTTGAATTCTAACCCTATTCTGACCCAAATCCAGAATCCAATTTCAGTTGAAGATCGAGGAACTGAAAATGGGAACTACTTGTTTGTCCTTTTGTATTAGCGCATAGAAAAGGTTCTACTGACACTACTTCTGGCCCAGATGGTATATCTTATGAATCTTCTAGTAATAAATCTTGTCCATAGTTTTATCAGTGATGGAATGCACCTAGGAAACACAAATGGAAGGGTAACCACAGCTATCAGCTATTTCACAAAAGCATCAAGCACATCATCTCTGTCTGGTGGACAGAGGAGAACAGATTAGAATTCATACCATTACAAAAATTCATTAGCAGGAATATAAGAAACAAAACCCAGGGCAAAATCCTAAGGTATTATTGCCTATTAGTATCTCTTAGCTGAATCAAAATAGCAACACTGCAGCTTCTTAAAACAAACTCAAAAAACAAGTAAAACCAAACACAAAGAAATCTCTTTTCCTCTGGAGTCTATATGAAATCTTTCCATGTGCATGTTCAGCCATACTGGCCATGCACAAGGTGGGTTTGGGCTCACTGTACTCACTATCTTTGGATGCCCAGTATCCTAAC